AAAAAAAAAAAAAAAAAAAAAAAAAAAAAAAAAAAAAATCTCTCTCTCTCTCTCTCTCTCTCTATCTATATCTATATATATCTATATATATATATATATATATCTCACAAGGATTTCCTAAACAAAATATGAATGAAAATTTTGGATACTGAGTATGTATTTCCAAACACATTAGTTTAGGTCGTCTAAGTCTCAGGATATAACACTATAAGAAAATAAAACAGCTGAGACCAGTAGTTTGAGGACTCTGAGAGAACAGCAGCCCTTTCTTTCTTTAAAGCCTCAAGAAAACAAAACTCCAGACACGTAGGACTGTCTTGGTGACAGAAAAAAAACCTAAAGATAAAGGGCAAACAAATTCAATTTGATAAATTTAATTCCATTTACACTGCATGTTTTGCCATATAGTAGTTTTATTAAAAAACGTTCATGTTCAAATTTGAATACATATCAATTAGATAACTATGAAAAGACCAGGCAACTCAGTTTAGCCCAGCATCCCTGGAATAACCATTTTCCAGGTCCAAGAAAGAAAGAAGATATTAATTCAGCAAGCATTGAGGGGGAATGGGACAGGGGTGCAAGCAGGACACAGCGAAGGATAGAAGGGTAAGTTGAGGCCCTGCATGTTGGCTAAAATCTGAATCTGTGTGATATGAAAATCAACCAATTCAACACCAGTATCACTGGCGTGCTACATCTGGACATGTTTTTTGGTTTACATGTTCCTCTGTTGTGCTCTGACACTCCCCAGAGTGAGCAGCAGTGTACACACTTGCTCTTCTCCTACTGTGAGGAAATCAGAGAGTGATATAAAGAAGCTGTACTCCCTATTTTCTTCTCTCCAGCTGAGAGATTCGGGGCTTGAAATAAGACCGAAACAGCTTGAGAGCAGGTTTAAATTACAGATGTTTTTTAGATTGTAGCAGTATCCTGAAACGTTCAGGTAGTTTCATCTATCACTAGTGACAAACAGAGTTGTTTCCACAAGAAGCCTGATGAAGCCTCATTATCCACCAGCATAAATCTGGTTAATGCTTGTCTTCGAAACTGAAAAACTAGAATTATCAGAGATTTCCTTTCGAAAGGGAAGTTTCATAAAGTGAGAGATTCAAAAGCACTTTTGTTAACAGTTCCTTCTAAAGACAGTTTTACTGCTATATGTGACCATATTCAAAAGTAGAAGTGAAATAAAAACAGTCAACACAACTAATCCATTTGTAGGTGATATCCAGGAAACTCTACAATATTCTTAAATGTTCAATTCTTGGACCTTTACAGCATTTTTATGTGGAAAATAAGCTATGAACAAAACCAGAGAAATTTTCACATACCTGAATCAAGGATTCACTCAACTTCTCTTCATCAACCTCTAAAATTATACTTTTTATTTCTTCATAAGGCAAACGGAAAGAACCCAAAAATATTGCTGAAATTCAGTAATAAGTAATTAGAATCAAAAATATAAGGTAAACAGTTTTTAGGAACTGAAAAATCATATACTAATTAAGAATTCACAACTGAATAAATAAGAATCCAATTCAGCAGTAAGAAGTTTTCTATATAAAACAAATGCTAGATGAAGCATATTATTGTACTTTGACTTATAATGAATTTCATCTCTAAGAAATGAAACCATGTGACAACACTTTTAACTGCTCCATCAGCCTCAGTTGCTCCCTAACAGTGCTACTATCTCTAGCAATAAAGTCCTATTTTTATGAATGGAAACATCTGCATTACTACTTAAACAGACTTAGATAGCCACTAGAAAACTCAATCTACTATTTTTTGCTTTCATAAACATGTATGAATAGCTGTACTGCATTTATAATTGGCTGAATATTTACATGACATCCTAGAAAAAATTCCCTCTCAGAAAGATAATGAAGATCTGTGTAAAGCCAAAAAAATATACCTCTACCTCTTTTTAGGGTAAGTAAACTTATACAATATAGTCAATGTATACAGTATACCCTTCAAAGATGGAGTTCTCAAAGCAGTTTGAACTTAGGATGTTATAACCTCTGAAGAGTAGTTCAAGAAAGCACTCCTAACACAGATGGATTACCGTACCACTCTAATAACGTGTCATATAATCACTATCTAACTACTATGGCTGATTTACCTGCAACCATATTTTCATAACTTGAAGTTTTATACCACTTCTCTTATGGTTCATTTTATGCTTAAGAAAATGTGCTCATGGATGTGGTAATAAACAATGCACAGATTTCGTTTTACACACATCATTTGAGCCAGACATAGTTGAACTAGTCACACTTTTATGGTATTTCTAACTCAAATAAAAGAATCTACAACTCCTAAGGATTGAATTCCCTCCATAATTAAAGGAAACAAGTTTAAAAAAAAGGAGGTAGAGCTGTTTTCCTTACCATTTATAATAGCAGTATTGGCACCTAACTTACCTTATTTTGCAATATTTTTCTCTTTTTAAGTCTAACCACCCCATCAAACTCTTTCTCCACTGCTCTAACCAGAAAGAACCATTAGTAATGGCCTGTCGAGCCCAATCCACAAAATCTATCACCACTGTGCCTCCCCTGAACCAGTGATTATCAATTAATTATACTTCCAGACTAAAACAATTAATGAATCAACTTTCTCTTACTAAAAAAAAAAGGTTCCTTAACATTTAAGTCTACACTATGTCTTCACTTAAATTTAAGTTTTCTAGTTGTATATTGAATTCAAATCATATGTATGTAAAACATGTCTGAACTTAACACTCATGTTCACATTAGGCACCTTTTAGAAAAATAAGATTGCACATGTGAAAAAAGAACATTTTACAAGTCACGTGTGTGTACATGCTAATTAGATATTCACCTAATCTGTTTCACATTACTTACATAAATTTTGTGCGGTTTTTCCATCCAAAATTCTTAATTCTTTAATCTTTTTCTTTGACTGAACTGCTTTCTTCTCTTCTGATTCTTCTACTGCCTTTTTAGCTGAAAAGAATATATATATTAAATTCTGATTCACTATTACAACTATTCAATCTTAACAAACTAATAGCAACTCAGCTAGAAAGCCATAATAATGCTATTAGAATAAGTTCAAGGCAAAATGAATGCACTGCCTTAATGTACGGTAAAATATCCAAAGAAACAAAGCAAATCTACAGAGTTAGGAGGAACATGAAATGAAAATGCTAATATGACAATGACCGATCTTCTGAAGCACTGACAAATTATATTTATACATTTTAACCCACAATATTTGTTATCTTCAGCTCCAGTTTATTCCAAGCACTTCTAAAAATGCACTGATTTGGTGTTACCTCAAAGCACGTGAGTGCCCTCTGTTGAAATTTTAGTAACTCAAATGCCATTTGAAGTTCTTCATCCCAAACCAGTAAAATAATAATTTGAGATTTATTACCCTACACAAAGGTTGGGTTTTACTAATTATTTAGGTTGTTACTAGTAAAGAGCAAAACCAAATGCAAAAATACCTTACCTTTAAAATTCACTTATTTTTAACTAGCAAGAACAGCCTTATATTCAGTACTTTAAATTATGTAGAAAGTAACATGGTATTGAAATATTTAAAATATATGCTGATTTTTTTCATAATTTAATATACTTATTTTTCACAGAAACTTCTTAAGTAAACCCATTATCAAGGATTTATTTCCTTTCAAATATCACATAACATTTGGCACTGAAGGAATAGAAACTGAATATGTTTAACATTAACTAAAATTAACGAAGTCATTCAATGAATTTAGTGATTCAAAAGTAACCGAAAATCTTGAAAGACAAATTAAGAGGACTATTTAAGCAGAGTAAATATGCTTTTCTTCTCTGAGCACTGTCTCTTGCTGTACTGATTTCATAAGCATGGGTTTTATTACAAGTATCTCCTATGAAAACATTTAATTTTAGTGTTAAGAATAACACTAAAACCTCAGTTGTATTAAAAAACCAGAACGAAGCAAACAGTTATTCTTCTCCTTACACACATTACCACTATGAAAACATCTGGCATAAAATAATTCTACTGGGTTTATACCACTTGGATAATTAGTTTACCTTGGGCATTTTCATACCAGTATTAACTAAGCTAGTACAGGACAGCTCCAACATGCCCAGCTCCCTCTAAAACCAAATCACGAAAAGTTAAACAGTCATGATGATTCAACAACAATGCAATACTTGCCCTTGCCCCCCGACCTGCTGTTATTCTGCAAGCCTAACTACATCATATGACCAGCTTACTTTGTATTTGTAACAGGACAGAGCTACATGGTAACTTGATAATACAGAGATAATGCTCAAAATTCTCACCAACACTGACCCTTTAACTATAACGAGCTACCATTTAAAATCCTGAAGTGACACTCCATGAAATAATCACACCCTTAACACTAATTGTTCTCAATTAAAGAAGGAAATAAAACAAGGTCTCAAACAAAACAAACAAACAAAACCCCAAGAGTTAGAAATTAGCTGTCCCATGAGAAGGCAATAAACATTATGAGTTCTGTTATATGAGGAGAAGCTATTGAAAAACCTAGGTTTGTGTCTGTTGTTGAGACAGCAGAGATAAATTATTCATGAGATGAGTGACCTATTCCAAACTTCAGCTGTTTAAGAATTAAAACCTCTGGATATCCACATAAGATTGGGTCTTTAAAGCTGAACACCAGACTGCCTCACAATGCACTCAGAGAGTACTGTACTTGTCACAGTAATTGTTAACACTGAAGACAAACCTGTTCTATAACCAGCTAAAAAAATACACACACACATTTCAGTGCATAATTATTTCAGTCCTGTGGCTTGCAAAACTGCAGAGGTATCAAAAATATTAAGTATGAGATGAAAACAAGACAAACATAAATGTTTTTGTTACCAAATGTCACCCCACACAAAGGTAACGTTCTTCCTGCAGTGATAATTCACATACAGCTCATCCGACACAGCAAGTCAAACATCCTCATGAGCAAGAGCTCAAGGGCAAAGGTGTTACCTGAGCCCAACTCCAAAGTTACTCAGCTACTACAGTATCAAAAAAGAAAAAGTGGTTTGGGGGCTTCAGTTTTTAAGCGTACAATATTTTAAAGAAAGAGACACTCAAAGGATGGACTGAGTCCGAATTCACAATAACTCTGCCTATACAGGGCAAACAACCAGTTCTCATTATTCTCCCTCCTCACATGTTTCCACACTGCAGTCCTCTTAGTGGTTGTGAAAATAGTAAACACAATTGGAACACAGAAAAATAAACATTCAAAAGCTTTATAACAAACCATATATACTCTTAGCTGCTTAGGCCTGAAGGGTTGTAACACCATGACTTATATTATTATCTGTTTTATAAATATTTAATGTCTGGGTTAGATTAAGACTTTTCCATTTAGAAAAGACCAAATAATATGTTCTTTCCAAAGATTCTTACCTTTTAAAGTATGAGACTTGAAAAACTAAGTTAGCTTTATGCCAGTTCACAAAAAACATGAAGAAATACTAGAAGGTGATGCTTATGTGACTGCACCAAAGTCACAATTTAGCATCAACACCAATCTTACCAACCTAAAACTCACAAGCAGAAAGAGACATTAAATTACTAGGATTTCCTCAACACAGTTTGACCCATGCTTGAAATCACATTAAGCATCAGAGAGCAATCAAAAGGCATGCTCTTCCCTCTTCTGTTAGGTGCACTCTCTCCTGATCACATAGGCCATTTTACAGTGACTCAACTCTGACAGGACCATGGATTACAGAATTATAATAAGTAATTAAATACATTTCAGAGTCAATACACTATTGCTGACCAACCTCCCAATGCTTTTCAGGTACTCCCTTCACAAATGCCTGCTTAAAGATGAGACATGCTTTTTGGTTTGATGCCACAGAACCAGAGGGAGAGATGAAAAAAGGATTTTATAGCAGTCAACAATAGGGTAGCTCAACAAAGCAAGATGAAAAATCAATCTGGAAGCTAAAGCATCTGTATTACTTCACACAGACCTTGGAGTTTAGCGCTGTGATTATTCATTACAGCCCTTTGATAATCGCACTGGTTTACATGTTCATTCAAAACTCAGCTTTTTTTCCAATCCACAAGTCTTACAGACAGTACCTAGAGCTAGTGAGAGTCATAGTCACGTTTCCATAACATAAAGGGCCACATTTGAAGATAAAATCAGTAAGCATAAGGGTAATTTCCTTCTGTTCTGATCATAACAATTGGTAAGCAACGACACTGCAAGAAACAGGCCAGCTCTCCAAGTCTGAAGCTTTATTCCACAGAGTCAATCCCCTACCCAACTCCCTGCTGAGCTCGCTATCCTCCTCCAAGTACCCTGCCTAAGTTTGCATCTCTTGTTTTAGAACACATGACAAGCTTTTTCCCACCTTAAATAAGGCTTGATCCAAATTAAGCCTTCCAAATTCATGGCTCACCTGCTTTGCTTCCCAGAACATACTCACTAATCAAGTTTATGTCAGTCCTCCACTGCATTAGCAGCCCTGGAACAATGGCAGAACCCTCCAATAAGTGGTTAAGCCTGTCCAGATACTCTTGGCAAAAGTGATTAATATCTCCTTCACAAGTTCTCAGTAAGAGAGGCCAGAAGCCCAAGTATTCCATCACCACATGAAAGCAGCATGTGTACCAGCAGATTCAGACTCAAAAGGGCCTGTCAGGTTGTCCTCCTGTATCTCAGATCACCATGTCTGTGATAACAGTCAAACCTAATGCACTTGTGTTGTGTTGATATAAAGCATTTTTAAATCTCCTACCCTCTATCTCTGTTTTTTTCTTTAAAGTTAATCCCTTTTCACACTAATTTATGTAGGTTCATATTTGGACCTATGTGGAATACATATATATATACATACACACACACACACACATAGGTGCTCATACATGTCTGGATTTTTTGTTTTGAAGTAATGGAGAAAATTATACTCTTGGTTGTTTAAAATTTTTTTTCCATTCAGCTGGGAAGAAGAAACAAAGAAACAACCATTAAAAAAAACAAAATCAGTCACTGAAATGACAAAACCACATTAATGCATAATTATCTCACATCAGTTATGTCTATAGAATGTTTTGGTTGGGTTCACTTTTCTTTGCCATTTAGCCTCATGCAGAAAGGAGAGGGAAAAAGAGACTCAGTATGATAAAGCAAAAGGGAAAGAGGAAGTTTTAGGATATGCCCATGTCTTTCCAAAGACCAGAAAATACAGATCTAAACACCAACATTATGTAAACTTTTTTTTTTCTTTTTTAATTTAGATTAGGGTTCTATTTTGTTAGTAACAACATGTTTATCAGTGTTGGAGGAAAAAAGCTGATGCAACATGCTGCAAGGGATTGTTTTCTGTTCATCTTACATTATGCAACACATGCGCAGCTTAAGTGTGTACCTTTATTGATACCTTCAGCTGGGAACTGACTTAATCCCACAGAAAGTGCACTGCTTGAAACCCATTTAGGTTGTAAAGAAAAAATAATAACACTAACTGAAATGTTATATAAGTTTAAAATATATTAAACAAGACATGATAATCATGGCAAAGAACATAGACAAACATGCTGAAATACCTCAGAGATGTAATTAAGAAAAAAAATTCTACCATCAATACTTTTGTACTTCTGTGGAAAAAAAGTGCATAAATGGCTCTGGAAAATTACCATTCTAAACCTGTTCATTAATTTTGCTACTGAATGGTATTAAAAGTTATCATGAGGTTTTCAGAAATACATACATTTTTATTTAATTGTATTGGAGCTGTTAAAGTACTTTGAGCTGCAATGTGCAGTTCATATTAAACTCTTCCTTTTTTAAAATAAGCAGTAAATAATTATAATTAAGAATTAACAGTAAAAACTTTCAGTCATGAATATGATGAGCATGAAAATTAAACGGAGACAAAAAGGAGCACATCGAATTACAGTGTGGAAAAAGCAGAGATTAAGGTGAACTGTAGCC